AGGAAGAAGGCTGAGCCCAGGAGCCCACCCAACTTACGTCTTCCCTCAGTGGTATTTTCCTAATGCTGGGGTGAGGAGAACTCTTTTTATACCACCCACAGTGATAAGCCCTGGAAAGTATTTCTCGATCAGTAAGTACTGAGTTACCTTGCACATTCAGGGGTACGAAAGAGGAACAGTATGTCATTAATTCTAAAGCGTTTGGGATCCAAGTCAGGGTCTACAATGAAGCAATCTTCAGGTCTGTACCTGGAAAGAGGCATACATTTCCATGAGCAACATTTACAAATGAGGTGACTTACATTACTTATATATCCCATGCAGAGCTAATCAGCTCCTAAAATGTTGATATCGTTGAACACGAAGAGAAAACCCCAGAAGTGTAGCATTTGAACACATCTTCCTTAACAAGGCTCTGTATAATAACACGATCGTTTAGTCTTTAAAAGCCTTTTTAATTCAACTAGCTGGTCTAGTCTTCCTACTTATAGGTCAGAGAATGGGCTTACTTAGCCTCCTGGAAGTTTCATACAGTTTAAAGAATAGAATTCTACTCTGAATAAGTGGAGGGGCAAATTTGAATAAAATATGGTTACTGCCATCAAGGAACTTAGAATTGAGGGGAGAAGACAAGCAGGAAATTCAGTGATTACACTACTCCTGCTGCTCTAATCTCCCATTGACACAGCCTCCTTGGCAGCTTCCTGGGCGCACAGCGATAGTGCCAGCCGCCTGCACTGGCACGTTATGCTTGGCTCTTAAAGCCACACTTAACATTCCTCATAGCACACAGGCCTTGTAGCAAGATGTTCCTTTTCCTTTAGTGGAAATTGCCTCTGCTGATTTGGACTGATGAGCCATGCAGGAACCTCCTGGGGATGGTGGTGGTAGTGGAGGGGCTGAACCAGGCTCAAAAGAGCCAGTGGGCTGGATGACTTGTTGAACTCAAACTTTTTAGATATTTCTGCCTGCAGATGAGCTGGATGGTGAAATGGATTATTCATTAGCAAGAATATTTTCTAGTCTGGGCCCAAAAAGCTTTGAACAGAAAGAGAAGGGCTACTTCTCATGACTGGTGAAGGGGATCTTAGGCAAAGTTGGAGGTAGATCTAGACATGGCGTCCACCATTAGCATGGAAACCATCTTTCACTTTAGAGCCTTTAAAGCTGGGCCTAAATTACAATAGACAGTTCTGTGCTGAATTATATGTTTTGCAAAATACTCCAGTGATTCTAAATCAATTGTTTTTATATAATTACCTTATGAAAAGGGGACACTATGTATGACCCACTATGGTCAGTTATTTTTCTGTGATTGGATGTTGAATTTGCATGCATCCCTTGGCAAAATACCTAGCACTTCAACAAGGAAAATNATTGCTTTTCAGCACTTAATGTGTCAGTATTGGGAAAGACTTCCACATTCATTGACTAGAGAATAAACATCCAAGTTTGAGAAGAAATCATTTGAATCCGCTGCTCATTTCCTGAGATTTACTTTGATATAATATTTTTTTCCCCTATTCCTCTCACTCGTTTATTTCTCTGTCAGAGGAAAGGCATTGCTCCAATGCCAAGATCATCTCAGGGAAAGTTATTGTTACAATAGTGTATATTTTCAAGCCAAGAGTTTCCCCTAATAAGCTAGGATCCAATGGCCGACTTGTAGGTGTTCCTCTGCAGACAGCCATTCTGCTCTGTGTTGTTGGAGCCCACTATGGGCCACACAAAACTTGCTGTTTTCTGGGTTTCCCTCTGGGAAGGAGCCTTACAAGTGGTACCACCTCCCTGGCCTCTCTAGGGATTTCATTGTCATCATCACCAGCCTACTCAAAATCCTTTCTTCTGTCATTTTCTGTCCTGTCAATTCAAACTCCTTCCACCCTCCATCCCAACTCATTTAAAAGCTTCCGGTAAACGAAAATTATTTTTTTATTGTAAAATGTTTAAGGACACTCAAGTTATGTAATGTCATAACTTCTCCTAATAGTTTGGATAACTAAAAATTTTTTTATCCTCAACATTTCAGGGTTCTTATATTATTTCACCATAATACATCATTAATACCCTCTAATATTTAAATATTCAATGAAATATTTAGTGGCAGGTACTCATAGCTCAATATAAAGAAAAGACAAATGTGAAATAGTTAACTGCAGTTTTGGTGATTTGGCTCTTTTGAGTTACAAAACTGGCCTATTGTGAAGTTTAAGTAGCATTTTCAGTGAGCAGACCGCAAAACCAGTGATTTGGCTAGACGATTAAAAAATGCTAAAGTTGGACGCTATATGGAACCTTAGAAGGCTAAGTTTCATATAATAACCAATTTAAATCTTTCCCACCATTTTCTATTCCAAATAAATACGTGCCTCATTACCTCTATAGTCCAAAGGCGGAGGTGTCCGTCCTCGTGTGCAGTGACAAGGATAGGTGGCTGGGCATCTGCCACGCTGGTGTCTTCAGGGTGTTTTTTGTCCACTAGCTGTTGCTCTCCCACCATGACATCTACTTGCTCAGCTATTGGAAATTTAATGAGCTACCATGGTGTTTGCAGTACTTGGAATTCAAAATTTTATAGACTGCAAAAGGGGAGGCAGGTAGGAAAATAGCAAAAACAACCCATTCCTTTTCCTAGAATTGTTTCTTTAACCCCAGAGAATTTCAATCAGGGCAGAGAATAAAACAAGCATTAACAATGGAATCCCAGATCACTGGAAAAACCTAAAGAGCTTATTTTTGGTTCTATTGCAAAGCCTCTGCACTATACATAACGGCTAAAACTATATACAGAGCCAGGTTAAGTCTTACATGTACAGAATGGCTTATGAATGTAGCGTAGGTTTTAGGAAAATGGGCTGCCCAGTAATATTGTAGTTTGGGTTTCTAAAATCTGAAATTAGTATTAAAAGGACATTATAATAATGGACATTCTGCTTCTTAGACTACTGAATCCTATAGCACCTCAACATTCAGTCACAAAAAGAATGTACAGTAAAACCTTGGATTGTGAGTAACGTGTTTTGCGAGT